TGCAACATTTGTTCTTTTTTTTAAACGTAAAACCGACTGTTAAGGGAATGACATTTTCTTTTTAAACCTGACAAAGAGTGAATGTGTCGTCGGTGAACTGTTCAAGAATAAAGTGAAATTCGTGTCTGCGAATTCGTTTGTGTGCTGATCTTATCTCAGCCTGGGTACTTTTCTGAACAGGTTCACATTGCACATAATAAGGAGGGAAAACATTGTGTTTCCTTATTTCACATCGTTTCCCGTGAATTTCTTAACGGAAGGCCAGAGAGCATAGGAAGGAAAAGTACTTAATTGTACGCGGACACTGTTACTGAGGAAAACTTCTGAGAAAGGAACAGAAAAATGAAAATTATCAATAGTTGCTGCAAATTCTAGCCAGATGAGTTTACCATGGTGTGATATTTTCCACAAAGATAGATCAACGAAAACGGTTTTGGAATAACTTGCAAGATCTTGAAATCACACCCCACTGGGTGAGACAAAAAATTAACTGTTTCCAATTTTTTGGCGTTTAGCATTTTAATATTCAGTCACCGCATGAACGCTATGATCAGTAGTAAAGAGCGAAGTAGAGAGCAAGTCAAGAGCTAAACTGGTTAAAAAGGAACTAAAAATGAAATGACCTTTTGAGTGTGTTATTTTCTTAAGGATTACAATGGATAAGGCATTCTTCCCTTGCAAGCCATTATGTTTGCGTGCTGTCAATTTGCCCATCAAGTGCGCGGGAGGAAAAACATAACCTTGAGGAAATTGTATTCGACAGGAGGTAAGGTCCTTAGACTTATCAAAACTCGCAGGAAACGCATCAGTCTCAACAGCACAAGACCAAAACAACTTGTGACTGTCGGTTATTACAACAACACGCTCTTCTTCTTGTTGATTAAGCAATGATAACAGGAATTCATGTCGTCCAGTTCGGTCTGTAATCATTCGAGTCATTTCAAAATCGGATTACAGATCACGGACTACAGATCACGGTATTAGGAACGATAGCGATTTGGTGTCCAAGCGGACCAAACGTCCACCCAAACAAGAACCTAGTGCGCATACTCATACCGTGATTGCCGACTCGATCTAAGATGGCGGAATGTTCAGGCGGACTTGCGACTAAATACAGGAATGGCTCCGACCTGTGATTGGATGATAAAAATAGTGAAAGTTAATAAGTTATATCTTAACTCGTTGCTCGTGAGTATTGTTAACCGCGTGTCTCGAAGCGCAACAATGAAATACCAATGTAAAAACACCGATGAGTCAAACAAGAAATGGCTACTTACATAACGAAGAGAAGGCAGAGTCTATCTTGTTCAGCGAGGTCGTTCAGTTCCGGCGATGAAAAAGTCATTCGCTGACAAGCTCCGCTGACAAAACTCATTTAGTCAGTTTAGGCGGACGACCAGAGACTGGAGCCATTCGTGTATTTCACCGGACACAGGAATGGCTCCAACTCATGCGTATAATATATAGATTTAGCCAAGCCTAAGAGCGGAGCTCTTATTAGTTTATTTTCCAGCCCTACGTTACACAGAATAAAAACTGTAATAAAACTATCTACTGGCAAGTCTTTGTAGTATATTTATATACCCAACCATTTCCTCAACATGTAAACACTATTACAAAGTAATTAGTCAGGGAAATGGGAAACTTGTGGCATATATATCATGTTTGAAAGGTCATGACCATAGTGAGCTAACAGGATTGAGGAGGATGTATGTGAGAATAGGCCCTCTTGTCTGTATCAATAATTTGCTAATCGCTCCTGTTGGCAATGTTTTGATGAGGTTGGGCTAACAAGACAAAGGAACTGAGAATTTTAGTAAGCAGTAACTTTTTTTCAAATCTGGAAACTATCATCGTGAAATCCATACTTGTTCCCGGTAACTCATTCCTATTCTGATAAACTAGTTTTGAGAAGGATACAATATTTTATAACAAAAACTCGATGCATAGGTTGTGCAAAAACCTTTAATTTGACTATACTTTTATAGCCAATACCAGTCCCTTCAAATGGTAAAATGTTAGGAGGTTCAGAGAAAAAATAATCTGCCATACATCTGCAAGATTTGATGTAATTATTTTAATTACAAGAATATTAACTGATACTAGGAGATTTAATAATATTAAAAAAATAATAAAAACTGCATGTCACGTTTGGAAAATCACGCAATGTTGCGTGACGCTGCGACCAATGTTTTTAATTTACGGCATTCTCTGCTGGAGAAATAAGGCTTGGCCGCAATCGAGGGAGTTTTTTTTCGTGGAAAACTGATTTTCTAGATTATTCATCGGGCTCCTCATCTTTTTTTGCACAACACCTAAAGGAAGAAAGTCGCGGATTAATTTTGCTTGGTAATTTCTAACAACTCCACTAGACCTAAAAAGGAAAAAAAGCAAACCAAACCAAAAAAAACGTCTTATCAGTCAAACCAGTTGCAGTAGCTCTCGCACTGAATCATGTCGAAGTACCTTGACTGTTTGCAGTGATGGTACAACCAATCTTCGAACAGTTTTCGGCCATAACAAGAAAGAGTGAAATGATTTTATAAAACTTGTTCCAAAAATTAATGAAGACTGTTCATCACATGACGCTGTATTGGAACGAGTATATCTCGTTTGCTATTGTATCACAGTACTGTTTTAGACAAGGTATTTATACCACTTAAATTTAAGAAAGAATGAGTAGAGCATAAACCACATTTTCTGTAAAGTACACGAGCCATCCTAACCTAATTTGCCAACTACTTTCCAGGCATCATCTGTAAAAAACCGCTTCAATTTTTCAAATTTGAAAATTTTTAGCTAAAACCGTGGCTCCCAAAAATATTTCTCACCTTGCCTAAAAAATTTTCAGAAGAAATTTTCAAATTTTTCACAACTTTGCCTATTCCTTTTCGTAGGTCCAGCCAAGTCCTTATGGCCATTGGCCCCAACAATGGCCGCTAACAATGGCTAATAAATATTGGCGTTTGGTGTTCACTTGTAAAACTCCCTGAAGAAGTTTACGACAGTTAGGCGAAACGCGTCAGAGAATAAAGAAGTTTTACAACTACTGTTCGCACAGCGCTGCTCACTAGTTTAGTTTTAAAATTTTTTTTAAAAAAATTGTTTAAAAATTATTAAAAAATTATTGAAAAAAAATTAATAAACGTTTGAGTCGGAGCTATTCCTGTCAGCGGTGAAATACAGGAATGGCTCCAGTCTCTTATCGTCCGCCTGAACTGACTAAAGTCAGCAGATGACTTTTTCATCTCCGGAATATCGCTGAACGACCTCGCTGAACGACCTCGCTGAACAAGAAAGGCTGCCTTCCCTTCGCTACGTAAGTAACCATTTCTTGTTTGATACATCGGTGTTTTCACTCGCATTGATTCTGTTGCCGAGCAATTCAACGATCTAACGAGACAGTTAACAATCCTGAATAGCAGAGCCGGCAGATTTACGATGTGATAGGACAGACCGGGTTATGTATAACCGGGTCCAAGGTTGTTACAGAGCCACCTCAGTGACATGTATGTAGCATGTATTTAAATTTGGATAATGGCACTTTATAAGATATATTTTAATCTAATATTTTCACTTGTTATTTTTGCACAGTTGTTAACTCGTGGCATTTTTGCTGGGTTTGAGTCCTATTGGTGATTGGAGTATTAACCCCTTGCAGGGCTGTCAATAATTTTTCAAGTAGGCAGGGAAATGAAAAAAGTAGCTGGGGTTTTTAGGTGGGTAGAGATAGGAATGGAAATTTAGGGAACAAAAAACCTTGTTGTAGATAAGCACAGCAAAACTTTGAAAAAGTTTTGACAGTCAATCATAATTTTATTCTGACAAAACAGTTTATTTTGACATTGACAACCCCCTCATGTAGTTCATTGTGGGATTCAGAATAACTATATCCTCTCACACAAAAAAAGCTTGCATGACTTGTGACTGACTAATGATGGTGTGACCCATGAGTGGTTAGTGACAATGTGACTAATAAGAGAATACTGGAAACAAATCAAAGGAGCCAAAAACATGGTGCTGCAAACATATTGGGAGCATAAATTGGTTTACTCTTTTTCTCTTCATTAATTTCTCAATTAATGAAGAATTATTTCTTATAAGCTTTGTTCATAAGAATTGTTTCTTGTAAGCAAAGCTTATAACAATTATTTCTTATAAGCTTTGCTTATGAGAAATCAATGAAAGGCTTCTAAGAAACTACTGAAAGAAACTGTCTAGGCTGATGTACATTAGGTAGTCTGGCAGGATGTTGGTAAGATGAAGCCTTGCATGAACTAGGACCAAACACATTCAAGCAGTGCTAGCAGAGAAATTTTTGTCAACATGTGATTTTTTGGAGAGAAAGACCGATGGTTAACACTTACTCCCATTTGTGAAAGCGATGGATTTCACTGATCTCTGGCAGAAATTCTGTGCTCGCTTGCTGCATGCCTTTTGAAAAAAAGTAAGGCAAGAAATGTTTTAGATTTTGGTTTTATCTAAGAGATAGTGGTGTCTTGCAGTATTTTATGATGTGAACAACTGCATTGCTAATTGAAGGTTGGGTGCCTGAAACATCCAGGAGCTTCCACTATTGGTGACCAGCTCCTAAATGGAGACTTCTCCCATGGCTGGCAAATCCTGGCAACCCAGCTATGAGCTCCAACACAGAAAAGGGGAACAGGTGCCTGTCACACTGAATAGACAGTAGAAAGAGGAAGGAAATGGGTCGGGAAAAACTGCTTGGACAAAGAGCTGTGACTCCTCACAATGCTACAAGTACACGCTCAGAGTTCATGCAAGAATGCCTCCAACAAAGAGAATATGGAATTCCAGTGCATGCATGTACGTGAAAAACCACTGGCTACTAGAAAACATTGATGTTCTTTGTAGTTAACTCCATTAAATTGCATTTAACTACATTAACTGCATTAAACTGTATTTAACAACTGCATTGCTAATTGGAGGTTGGGTGCCTGAAACATTCAGGAGTTTCCACTATTGGCAGTTAGCTATAGATGGAGAGTTCTCCCATAGCTGGTAAATCCTGGCAACCCAGCTATGAGCCCCAACACAGGAAAGGGGAACAGGCACCTGTCATATTGAATCGACAGTGGAGAGGGGGAGGGAATGGGTGGGGAAAAACTGCTTGGACAAAGAGGTGCCACTCCTCACAATGCTACAAGTATGTACTCAGAGTACAGGCAAGAATGCCTCCAACAAAGAGAATACAGAATTCTGGTGCATGCGCATATGTGAAAACTGCTGAATATTAGACTGATGTTTTTTGTTGTTAATGCCATTAAATTGCATTTACCTGCATTTAACAACTGCATCACTGATTGGGGGTTGGGTGCCTGAAACATTCAGGGGCTTCCACTATTGGCAGCCAGCTGTAGATGGATACTTCTCTCATGGCTGGCAAGTCCTGGCAACCCAGCCATGAGCCCCCACAACAAGCTGGAGGACCTCTGAGCTGAGTACAGTCAGCTCTGAGAAATGGGGTTCATGGCAACAGATGGCCATGGCCCTGAGAAAAATTGCCCAAATCTGACAGCACCCACTGTCTGATTTGGAAGTGAGAAATTATGAGTATTATACCTGCTATGAAATTTGTTCTGCTGAAAGGATGCTATCCATGAGTGTGAGCACCATGTTCTTCATGAGGTGGTCAGGAATGCCCCACTGAGAAGCTGTAGTTGCAGCTAAAATTCTAAAGCTGCGACCAGAGAACTTTTCTGGAATGCCTGCTGTCTGTAGTGTGGATTGTAAGAATGAAGATAAATGGGCCTGCAAAAAAGGATGGCCATCCTGATAAATAAATAGGGGACCCTTTGCCTGGCCTAGTTGGATAAAGCAGTCACAGGACAGAGAGATGTGGAGCCACAGCCAAGGAAAATGAAACAGCCCTGCTGAATAGGATCAGTCTTTGGGCATTTAATGAACACCCTGAAACTTTAAGGATTTGTTGAGGAATCTACCTGCAGATCTGCTACTGTCAGATGCACAGAAGGATAGAAAGGTCCATTTTTTGTAAACTCACCAGCTCTGAGAAACCTAAAGAAGCCAAGGCAACAAGCCACCCACAGCATGACATATTCAGGGGTGGAGAAGTCCAAGGACTTGTGCACAATGGCCTAAAGGTCTGCAGTCAAAGACAGACACTGGGGAGATTGGAACCCTGATGTTGTTTAAAGCCTCTTAAGAGCCACTGTATCTAAAGACATTCAGTGAGTGGGTCAGGATATCCGTAGTCAATGTGTAATGAACAAATAGCAGACAGATAAACTTTAATAGAAGGAGTGATGAAGACAATCTGCAAGGTATGCACAGAAATACATCACTGTTTGTTCACTAGCAGTTAGAAAGGGATGACATAAATTGCTAGGAGTATCCTGACCACAGAAAGCTAGGTATTGGTGTTGAGCAGAGCCATAGACTGCTGAGTGGAGGGTGCAAGACCATTGGATAATTTGCTTTCAAGTCATGGGAAGCTGGGCCAGTAGAGACTGCAGGACTGATGTAGCCACAGGTGCTGCGTGTGTAGCTAGACAATGGAAACCCTGGAAATCAAAATGAGATAAGGCATCAGCAATAAAATTGTCTCTACTAGCAGTATGAGAGGCCGCAAAGGCAAAGGAATGGTGGGCTGCTAAGAGGGACCCACTGGGAAGTGCTCCTTGTATGCAATTGATAGGAAACAGAAAAATCAGGTAGTGGAGCCCAATTGGGGTAAACAGAAAACTGAGGCCATCCCAAGAATGGAAGAATTCATGCCCCCAAGAGAGGTCTAAATGAAATTTTTGAAGCCTTATGGGGTGGTCATCCCCTTGGAACACTAATAATAAGTTGATCATATGCTGTAAAAAGGTATGCCTGACGAGGAATGACTTTACATGTTGGAGATTGCAGATGAGAGATTCCAGCTCTTTTCTCAGACAGTACTGTTTGGAAGACCATGTATCCAACAAGGCAATGATTTGCTCAAACTTGTCCCATGGATGACAAGCCTGAAGGGCAAGTAAATCCAGCTCAATACCAAGCACTGTTAAGCAGGTGGATGGCCCCTCCAGTTTATCTAGGTGAAGGGGGATGCCTTCGTCCCCAAAAAGTGGAATGCACAAATCCAAGTTGTTCTGGCAGACAAGTGAGTTGGGCATGACATGATCCCACCGATGACATTGTCTACTTTCATGTACTGTAAAGAGCAAGGCTCCCTAGGAATGCCATTGTTGATGCTATGGCCCACTGGGCTAGATAAGTCCAAGATAAGCTACCACTTTCCATGTTGGTACTTCTATGGGGTCACTCCAAAGAAACTAACATGAAGGTTTGGAATTGGAGATATAGCATAGGGGCCAGCTACATGACCTTTTTGAAGTTCTGTGAAGAGATACTGATCAATCACGGCAGGGTGAAGTGCTGCTGATGGCATATTCTGGGTCGCAGACCTCAATAATACTGCCAAAGGATCAAAGCCAAGAAAAAAAACCACCAGTAGTACCAGAAATGACAAAATCCACTTTTCTTTGATCAGGATGAAAACAAAGTTCCTGCTGCAGTTTGTCTGCACTAGTGGGTGAAGCTCTAAAAGGAGAGACCAAATCTTGCTGAAAAGCACCAGTAATGGAATGCCCTGTGGCCTTTGGTGATCTATAGACCACCTCAATGCTGCTGGCATTTGTACCAAGATGAGGTAGTTGCTTGGGAGTGCTGCTCATATGATTTGGAGGCACGAAAGGGGCAGTTGATGCTGGGGTGGTCCCCTTCACATTTATCACAGAAGTGGCAGTACCGGCATCGACCAAAGAGCCAGTGACAGATGCTATCACTTCGTGATCTGCAGAAGTTGGATGACAAGCTGCCTGAGTTAGGGAATGGAGAAGATGCAGCTGATGGCTGGGACTGTGGCACCAAACAAGTATGGAAATTGTACAGGTTGAGGTTTTTGCACGACCAGTCTGCCAGGCCTGATGCAGGTGCATCCTTCCAAAAGGCAGTGTCATAGTGAAGCCAGGCCTTGCCAGGGAACTGGCGGTAGGTCTTCATAATCAGAAGCTTGTACTGCGTCATGCCCTACCATCTAGAAGGGTGTGAGCAGCAGGAAATCCACATGTAGACCAAGAATGCCTTCACCCATGTCACAATGTCAGTGATCTCTTGTATCTGTTTCTTTGATGAACTCACCAAAAGTCTACTGTCAAGATAAGTTTGCAGCTCCACTTCCGGGGCCTTTAGGTTGTCACCTAGCAGGTCAGCCATATCAATGAATTGCCCTTACCTGATCTTGCTAACCAGTTTCTCTGGGATAGGAGACTAACGTGGGCCAACCACAAAAGTTCAGAGAAGATGGGATCCTTGGTGAAACAGTAGATGCGTGAACAGAACCGATGGAGAATGTCAGCACAGATGTTATTACTGGTGACTTTTATTCAATGAATGATAAAGCAAACGTTAGCCTCCTAACTACTTCATTTACAACAATGTGATGGTAATTTGAGATTAGGCACAAATCAGTTCTAAACCAAACATTAATTTTCCTTGAAACTCACCACTATGAATCTCATACCACATGAATTGCAATCAAACATTATTTTATGGGCCGTGAAAATATATGTTTTTAGATAGCTAAATTCATGGACAACAAGTACTTAGTGCAATCCTTGCAAAGGTGTGCTAAAGCCCAGGAATTTCATGAGATGATATATTCATGGGTCTTGAAAATTGGTTAGTGGTTAGTCCAACACTGATTTCATAGTAAGATCATTTTCATGACCCATGGAAATGACTTGTTACGAATGTGTCTACTTGGGTCTGCAGCATCTAATAATTACTGCATGAGAATATTCATCCACTTCTCATCCCATGTGTTCTGTGTTTAAATTAATAAAGAACAAGAAAGGTTAAAATAATAGCCTATTTTTAGGAAATTACAATTAAAACTAGAGCTTTGAAACTGCTTTTATTGTAAGAAGTGTCTGGCTGCAGTCAGCCAGAGTCAAAATGAATTAAAATTCCAAAAATTAAAGTTGGATTTATCTAGAATAATTTTTGATAATTTTTTAATATTGGTAATAAACACTTGTATAACTTTTAAAAGTATGCAGATATTCAAAAGTGCTTTGCAGTACCTCTAGTATTAAAAACTAGCACTGAAGGCTTTCCTAAAAAGAAAATGCTCAGAGATATTTCTCAAAAGCAGCCAGGTTACTACAGGATCTGATTAGTAATGGCATTTACCAATAAAAAAAAAAAGAAATACATCCATAACGAAAATTTGATTGATGTAGAGACACATTGTTTGTAATATTTTATTTCAGGTTACTTCTTTGTTACTTTTGTTAGAAACAATGGGCTGGTTATTTAAATGAAATTTAGACAGCATTTATGAAAGTCGTGGTCTAACCCATGTCTAAACCATGAATAATGATTATTTAAACGTTGTTCTTCCAACTGTGTGTTAGACTTGGTCTAAACACCAGCTAAGGAACAACAGTAATTTTGACCTGCTCACGGGTAGTTTTAAATGTTGTTAGATGGGTTTTTTGTGGTCAGCCGTTTTAAAATGGACGGACTACAGTGCTACAGACAGTTAAGAGACTATGCCAATTGATGTAACATACATATTAGACACATTTGGCACCTTAGAGACAGATTTAACCCTTTAGAAGAATATGTTGACGAAGAATTTCAATTGCATTTGCGCCTTAGAAAGGACTCACTCATTGATCCAGTACAAATTTTGGATAAAGATCATCAACATCAAACAAGGAGAGGTCTGCCTCTTACACCCAAGCAGCAAGTTCTAATTGCTTTCAGATTTTATGCAACAGGAGCTTGCGAGCGGGTTATTGGTGATTTATTTGGTATTTCTGTATTTGCTGCATGCCAGGTAATTCACAAGGTTTCAAGGGCTATCACAAAACAAAAAGGAAATTTCCTGTTATTCCCTGAAAACTTGGCTGATACTAAGAGAAAGTTTTATGATGTTGCACACTTTCCAGGTGTGATCAGGGCCATTGATTGTGCTCACATAAGGATCATATGTCCCAACAAAGAAAATGCCATGGCATTTGTTAACAGAAAGCAGTTTCACTCCATTAACATCCAAGCCGTTTGTGATAGCAATGCCTTTATTACTAACATCGTGGCACACTGGCCTGGATCGACTTAGGACTAACACATTTTTGAGAACAGCAAGATTGCAGACAAATTAAGGCAAGGTATGATTGATGGCATTCTTGTAGGTGACAGTGGATACACTTGTAGACCATATTTAATGACACCAATCCTCAAGCCAAAGAATGTAGGAGAAGTGTGCTACAATATTGCACATAGGCATACCAGATGAGTTATTAAGAGATGCTTTGGCTTGCTAAAGCAACATTTTCCAAGTCTGCACTTAGGACTGTGCAACACCCCGGCAAACACTCTCATCATCATTGTGGCCATGGCAGTATTGCTTAATTTCACGCTTTTGCATCAAGAGTGAGACTTTGATGAAGACATTGAAGATGAAGGTGTTCCATTTGACATTGTGGCTGCTGCAGACGCAAGTGGGAATGCCAAATGCCAGCTTATTATTTCACAATATTTTTCTTAATAAGAACAAAAAATCAATTGCATTGGCTGTTGGGTTAATTGTCAACAGGGTAGGACACAAAAGACAACCTTCACCACAATTAATTAATCTTTATTTTGTTTTACTTTTAACAGTGTTACATATCTCCACATGAATAAGTTCACACTAGAGGGTGATGTACGATTTTTGTACATCAATGTCATAATCAGGCAGCAAACCAATTCCCATATTAGTGCATTGGTGCATCAGCTTCCATTGCTTGAGCTTCAGCACTTTCATTTTTAACTTGTGTTCTTCCCTTGCCATGGACAAAAATGGATCAAAATGGAAAAACTGTTCTCTGGCATTTGCACCTGTCGATGTAATGTCAACTGACAATCAGTAATTATGTATAATATAATAAATTATTATGCAATAAATGACTTTTCGAGGCATTCAAAATTTACTGTACTTCTGACTGTCCTCCTTTTTTGCAAGTTTTGCTCCTTTCCTGCTAAAAACTTCAACATCAGCAAGTTCACTTGGCCCCGCTTCGCATATGGTAGATTCCCTCTCATCTTTGTCTGGTCTTGAATTAGGTTCCTCTCCTGCGTCATCATCAAATGGTTGCTCTAGCGGATTCACCGAAGCTGGTAGAACTTGGCAAGTGATTTACTCACTTCACTTGGGGAGGCAGGAGCTTTTCCTCTGCTAGTTTTTCTTGCTTCACAATGTTGCAAATTGTGTTCTTGTTTGGATTGGAGTTTCAGCGGCCTCCAGCAACCTTGGATCTGATTCATGACCTGTTTGATTCCATTTGGATTTCAGGAGTTGAATTTTTGCAAAATTTCTTCCCAAGTATTTGCTTTCTTTCTCAATGTTTTATTATTGTAGCCTTTACTTTCCACTTCTGGGAATTCTCTTACCAATTCTGCCACCAAAAGCATTTCCTCTTCACTAAAATTGGGCATTCGCCTGCATTAAAAGGCCATAATGAGTCACAACCTCCAATATGGAAATGTGCATACAAATAACACCACAGACAATACATTTCCTGGTGAGACATTGTTTAGCCATTCACTAGAAAAAACACTGTTCAAGGGCGTTTTAATAATGTATTTTACACATGGTTTAACCGTCCTCTCTGGCAATTGACACCAGGGAAGTTGGATGAACAATCTACAGTATGTAGACACAGCAGTTTCATAGACATGTTGATAAAAAAAAATAATGGGGCTTCTCGTGCCAGAATATTCTTAGTCAACTCATGCTATGGCCTCATCAGCCATATTTCTGGTAAACAGACTTACTCTTACTTGTACCACTGTAATGTTCATATTTTAGGAACCACATGGTATAGTCCTCAGTTGCAACTTTTAAAGGTGGTGAAACATTAGAGAGAAGCATGACAGTTCTTTTCTCTATCAAATTCTCTGCCTACCATATACCAAATGTGAAGTCAAGTTCTTCTAAAATGCATTAAGAGCTGTCCATGGGGATTCCTTTGAGGCAAAGGGCTGTTTAAAAAGTTGCTCAATTATTCCAAACTTCCTCTTTCCTAACTGGCTGCCAGCAAATAAACATTACTTGCTCTTCTTTTTTGTTGTTGGTTGAACACCTACAGGTATTCATGGGAGAGTTTTGCTTTGCTTCAGTGCTGTGTTGTAAAAATTATGCAGCTACAGTTTGAAGGCCTGCATGGAGAGCAGTTTGACCTCTTCATAGCTCTTCGTAGTGTGGTTGTAACTGACATCCCTGAGGTCTCCATTATGAAATGGATTTATAAATATATATAATATATTTAGTAATGTCAAAAACAAATCCAACAAAAGTTAAACATTTTAACAAATCTGATTCTATTAAATAATGCAATTTTGAGTTGGTAATGTGTACAGGTTGAATGTGGAAATTTGTTTTATATATTAATTTATCAGCGGCATTTCTCTAGGCGGGCAAGGTGGAATGAATGAGAGCCTGCAGAGAGTGATTTAAATATACAAAATATATCTACCAATGTAAAGTGCAAAAAGTTATGCAGCAAGTTTGAATTAAATAGGATCCTGTTAAAATACTAAGTAGAACAAAGTACATACAGAAATGTCAAACACAAAATGAGCCCTCAAAAAAATTGCAAGATGCACATACTTTGGATAGTACATTACTGTGCATATTACGTTGATTGCATTAAAATTTAAAAAATGAGAAAAGAAAGATGACAACTAAGTGGTTTAAAAGTTATACTGCTTAGATGATGGCAAGGTTTGGCAACAAAATAGGTTAGCACTCTGGGAAATAGTGGTTGCTGAGATTTTTCAATAACGATGTAAACTAACTAAACCTTTAAAGTGTAGTCAGTTGTTCGTATAGTATTGAGGGTGAGGTTGGAATTGATGAGTACTTGCAGTTCTGTAATGCATCTGATCCTGTCCAAATTTTTTCCCAAAGTGAGGCAGTTCACCTTCATTTTCCTGTAGTCTGATATATTACATTAGTAACTGTGGTTGTTTTTACATGTTTTAAAATAAGCAACACAAGCCTCTCTCGATAGATGTATGCACCTCAACTCATAAAGTATTATTTTGAACTGTCAGAATTTTCTTTTCAACAATTGACTTTATGTAACTGTTGTTGAAGAAATTTCATGTTTGTTTCTCTAGAGATATATTTTAGATAAATTTAGTAACTAAGAACACAAAATTTA